CGTGCAGGGATTTCGGGCTTCTTGTCGTTTTCCCGTTCCTCCTGTTTCGCTTCGAATTCAGTTTCAATTTGTTTCCAGTGTCGATAGCTCTCCATATCTGTGATGTCGGCTCCCTTCGCATTCCTGATGATGAAATTCGAAGATTGATTCCAGCATCCTAAGATATTTTTTTGTTGTTTGAGGGACCACATTGGTGCAGAATCTTCCTGTTTGGCTAAATGAATCCAGTTCGCTCCAAGCTCGACGTTGAATCCAGAAAAATTATGCTATCAAAATGACAAAAAGAATGTTCACATCTATTTATTGTTTACACTCTGTTCCTACAATCTTGAAGAAAAATGTTGAGAAATTTTTAGTTTTAATGAATGTTTTCATGTCCAACATTTGAAAATCCCACCCCCTCCCCCTCTAAACAATGTTGTTTCTATGGGGACAGGACTGCTCTACCTAATGGGACTAACATTGTCTTGGGGGGAGGGGGTACGATCAACCAAAAAAACTTCGAGGGAAGTTGCGCTATTTAATGATGAGATAAAACTTTCTCAACTGTTTTTGTCCAAGATTGTAGATAGTTAACTGACAATAGAGATGGAAGTCATATTGGTGTTCCAAACAAAACTGAGAAACCAATAATAATGTAATAGTCGGTGGACCAATATGGCGGCTGTGACGTCAGGTGATAACCTTCTATGAACAAACTTCATTACTTTTTTTATGCTCCGCTGAGCATGGCTTTTTCTTTTTGTGTGTTTATTTTTTGTCTGTTAAGTTCCACCTGCTGTTAAATTCGTCAGCATTTTTCCCTTTACATGAACCCCCTTCTACCTCTTTTAATTTTAATAGTTCGTCGCTACAGATCGTGAAATAAGTAACACATTAGTTTGTCACGCCTTATCATTAAGTCACGCCGGCCCAAGTGCACGTGTTGGATATCCCGAATTTGGTGAGTAAAAAAAATACTTATTTGCTTGAAATTCTCTTATTAATCGACGTATTTTTCGACTAACATGTTGTAAAATAATCTCTATTCTACCTTACACGAAAAAAGATTGAGTAGACAAGTTAAAAAAGATATCAACAGCCGATTAATCTTGGTCCACAGATGAATTCAAAATCAGTACATGACTCGTTTACGATAATATATACTGACAAAACTTGATAAATACCTGTTTTATTCTGCCTCCAATATAGTCCTGTCCTTCAAGGATCAGAAAGTCATCGACTCCATTGTCCATCAAAGTTTTTCCAGCAACTATCCCAGAGAGACCAGCACCAAGAATAAGGACTTTCTTGTGTTGTTGTCTTTTGTAAACACATGGAGCCATGTTATGACTAGGTAATTTTTAACTGTCAAAAAAAGCGTTGATGTTTTAAAATGTTCCTTAAATATTTTAACTGCCTTATCTATGCAATTAGTCCTTATATATGACAAACTAGTAATAAGGTAGTAAGTAATAATTTCGACAAAATGACCTAATTTCATTCCTCAGTGAAGCGTCATTCGAATGAACTCCGAGTTGTGACGCAATACTGACCTTTTGATTAGCATGTCAACGAGTTAACAACCGGTTTTTAATCCTTCTTTAGATTACATGGCTTTCTTTTGAACAAGAAAAACCAGTTAATACGTGCGTTTCTTAGGAAAAAAAGACTCTGTTTTTGATACGAGACCAGATGAGAGTTTTCTTAGATTTCTTTTAATGAATTTCTTGAAGCCATGGGAGTTGGTTTGAGAAGATAAATTGGTTTTTGAAAATTCACATTTGTCGATGCTATCTAATAGGGAACAGCATTACGTCATGACTAACACATCCGGTTTTTTCATGTCAAACCGCTTTTTCAGCTGTCCGGATTTGAGTTTCAATCGCCTCTCTAGAGTTCGCTAATTTGTTTTTGGAAGACATTTTCCTAATCTCGACTACAAAACTTAATTGAATTCGATATTTTACGATTTTATTCATTTCAACTTTTATTTTTTTTCGATGATTAGAAAAGGGACGGATCTTTCTTTCTTTCCTTCCTTTATATTCATTGATTCATTGATTCATCGATTCATCGAATTCTCCCCTCTCGCTATCTCTCTCTTTCTTTCTCTCTCTCTCTTTCTCTCTCTCTCTTTCTTTCTCTCTCTCTTTCTTTCTTTCACTTCTTTATTTCTTTCTCCCGTCTTGGCACCTTTAAAATAGAATTGGCGGCGCCTTTCGGGTCTTTGATGTCACCACAGTCAGTCTTTTCTGCTTCTCTACACTTCATCATCCGGCCATTTGACTGTACTTTTAGCGACCTTGGCCGTATGAAAAATATATGACTGATATGGTGCCGTTCAATATTTATCGAAGGATCGGAGGAGGAAGGACGAGGGGAGGAGGGAGGAAGAAGAAGGGATTGGTAAGCATGACTTTTTTCTTCAACCCCCCAACGGTTTTCCATCCCCACCGGAAACTCCGATAAATAATGAACGGACAATAAAGTGTAGACTACTCTATCGTCTCGCGTCCTTCTTTTATCTTGACTAGCTTCGATAGCATCTTTCCCTGTCGTTGGCCAGTCATGTAGGCTCCTTGCATGTACCCAAACCACTCGTAGTCTAAAGCCTCACCCGCAAAATGAAGATTTTCTAGATTCATTGCAAGATCCTTGAAATCTTGTGGAGTTATTCCAACGACTGGTTCAGAGAATGAGCCAAGTGTAAAGGGATTGGT